CCAGATTAGAAAGGCAGGAGACCACACAGGAGATCTTGTGGCAGCGTGAGCGTGAGCTACTGTTCAGGAGCATCAAAATGCATTAACTTCACAAAATTAGTAGGGCTTCAAGTTTTGTAGAAGCAGGGGGTTCGTAAACATCAGCAGACATTAAACTGCTTTGGGAATCTAGCCTGATCTTTGCTATACATCCTTCTGGTGAAGTCCTTCCATTGCTGTCAGCCTGTAGTCCCGCAGTCGCAGTGCAGTGCCTCTCCGCCTGAGCCAGCTTTTCTCTTTTCATGGCTATTACATCACCCAGCGGTGAAGATGCGATGAACTGATACAAGCCTCTAGAGTGTACATACAGCATGGTACATGGGAAACCGCATCATTCACCGAACAATGAGGATTTCTGAATGCTAAAATAAATGCCCAGAGCTTTTCTAAATATATATATATATATATATGTGCATATTTTATTCTGTAGGTACAGAGCAACAGTTAATCATTGGCGGACCAGTTTCTTCTGCCCCTGCTCCAGACGTCAGGCCAAAGGACAGAGCTGTTAGTGCCAGCACGTTCCACAGGTTCCAGCAGGAGCTGCCCTCCTCCGAGCTTTTGGGCTCCAAATTAAGACACGTTAAGGTTCAAGCTGCTTTGCAGCCCTTGACAGAACCTGCAAAGACTGAACCCCAGAGCGGCTACTTCGCTGACAAAGGAACTCAGACAAAGAAGTCCAGCAAAAGCGGGCAGTCGAGGCACAAAGCCCTGCACCATGCTGGGGCACATCAGAGCCAGGAGCAGCAGCCCCCTGCCCTGCCGGCGGGACAGCCGCCTGCCCCTCCGCTCAGAGGCACCTCCCAGGCCCTGGAGATAACACAGTACTTCTTCGAGGCCGTTTCCACACAGATGGAGAAGTGGTATGAACGAAAGATAGAAGAAGCCCGGTGCCAAGCTAATCAGAAAGCGCAGCAAGACAAAGCTGCGCTCAAGGAGCATATTAAAAGCTTAGAAGAGGAGCTCAGCAAATTAAGGACTAAGGTGCAGAAAGAGAGCTAGCGTTTACCAAGCAGGTAAAGACAAGCAACGGGATTCCTTTCAGAACCTGCTGTATGGGAATCTGGAATATTGATAGATACATGTCTTTGTAGTGCCTGTTACATCCAAACAGAAAGCTCTTTTTTCCGGAGTAGAAATAACTTTGGAAACTCCAGAACCAAGGAGCATTCATATGCAGACTGTACTGATGACAATGAGATGCTGCAGATTAGATCCTTTCTTTGTTACTTCCAAGAGTCCATCCGTTAAATATTGCACTCTCAATTTCCAGGTGCTGCTTGAAAACCAACTGCATTAGAAACCAAACCTGCTTTCTGAAAAGGGAATTTCCTTCCTTCCACAGAGGTCGTGTGTGACTAGAGGCTTCCACTGTATGCTACGTGCAAACGCACGGTGGTGCCAATACTGAAATAAATTGAGGACGTTTGAGAGCTTTTGACAGAAATTCCTTAGCGGTGAAGAAGGGCTACTGATACTATTTTAGATGCTCCCCACGGCCTCCCTCTAGTCAGTGGAGAGAGGCTACAGAACCAACCCAAATTACAAGCCCACGTAGGTGACAGACACAGGCTTCCAGCTGGGAGAGGCCAGGCTCCCACCGAGTGAGATGCTGAGGTGAGGCATCCCGTTAGGTACAGAGGCTGCGGTGGCCACATTGCTTTTCTTTTGGTTTTACATTATTAAAACAAATAAATGCTAAATTAGATTTGTCTTTTTTTTTTTTTTTTTAAATGGTGTCCTGGTTGCAAAGTTCCTTGTGGTTACACAGTTGGTGGGGCCACACTTGAGTAATCTGACCAAGAAGTTTTGTTTAGGGCATGGATGGCAAATATTTAACCATAACCATGCTCTACTTGTTAGGTATAATTTTTATATAAATCTCTCTTCCTTCAATTATCCTTTAGATAAAGAAGGAAAAGCTTGGTTCCCTGTATTCAAATGTTTCTTTTTTTGCAGAGTCAGGATTCTCTCCCAGACACCTTTGTCCAGACTGTCTTCCTTTGTTCCTCCGAATGATTTCTCTCTCTCTTTTCCCCCTTGCATCTCTAAAAAGAGAGGCCGGGCCCCGGTGAGTCTGCAAGCTGTAGGACTTCTTTCATCAACAGTCCCACAAAATAGAACTCAACAACATTTTAAAGTTTTTTCTGTATGTGTTTTGTTATGAAATCAAAACCTGCAAGGACCAACGTCGTCCAGGCTGGCAGACTCCAAATGAACTAGAGGCACTGTAACTCGTTGCATCTGCACCCCTGCAGGCTTTCCTCCTCCTTAGAGCCTCTGCGAAGGCTCTCTCAGATTTTGTTAGAAAAGTTTACTTAACAGGTCATGACAGAACAATTGCTCAAAATCAATTCAAACACAGGATCATACTGTTATGCCAAGGAGAAAGAGATCTTTTTTTCTATACTGAGGCACCCCCAAATCAATACAAAAGACACCATTGACTAATTTAGTAATTAAGCTTTTCATCTTCTTAAGAGCTGTATAAAGCAAAGAAAATTGTATTATATAACAATATTTTTAAAGTTCCTATTAATGCACTATCAGGACAAGAAAAGCATAGCTGCAGTTATGGAAATACTAGTTTTATCGCTCAGACTTCTGTAGTCTAGTATAGACACTTTCATACGTTGACAGGTTTGTTTAAGCTACTGTAGGAGTGCAGAAGCATGCTATTTAAGTTTTGTATCATCTTGATAAAGTCAATGTTTTGCCAAGCAATTAAAAGTAAGTAAGTGTTGCTCAGAAGTCTGTGGTGTCATGTTTTCTAGCCAGAGAAAATGGACAACATTCCCTCGCTTGACTCGGAAGGGGGATGTCGTGGTTTAACCCCGGCTGGCAGCACCACGCAGCCGCTCGCTCACTCTCCCCACAATGGGACGGGGGAGAGAATCAGAGGAGTAAAAGTGAGAAAACTCGTGGGTTGAGATAAAGACACGCGCACGCAAGCAAAGCAAAGCAAGGAATTCATTCACTGCTTCCCATGGGCAGGCAGGGTTCAGCCATCCCCAGGAAAGCAGGGCTCCATCACACGTAATGGTTACTTGGCAAGACAAACGCCATTACTCCCAACGTCCCCCCCTTCCTCCTTCTTCCCCCAGTTTTTATACTGAGCATGATGTCATATGGTCTGGAACAGCCCTGTGGCCAGTTGGGGTCAGCTGTCCTGGCTGTGCCCCCTCCCAGCTTCTTGTGCCCCTGGCAGAGCTGAGAGCTGAGAAGTCCTTGGCCAATCTAAGCACTACCCAGCAACAACTAAACCACCAGTGAGTTATCGACATTCTTCTGGTACTAAACCCAAACCACAGCACTATGCCAGCTATGAGGGAGAAAATTAACTCTGTCCCAGCCGAAACCAGGAGAGGGGCGCAGAGAATTGGCCTTCTGACGTCGAAGCGTTTGTGTTTGCGGCTATAAAACATGGAAACGGGGTCTGCCACCTGTCCCAAGGGAGGCTGCAGGGACTGACTGCCGTTCGCGTGCACACACGCGCTCCCGAGCTTGCACAAGCGCAAGGGAGACGGCAAGGCTCTGGCTTTCGCTAAATCGACTTCCCATACAAACTGCACTACCGAGGTAGTTACTGTAAAGTACTGCTCCAGTGGCTGAGGGGGCAGTCATTTCAGACAGTAACTTAGCTGCAGAGTTATTGATTCTAGAGGTTTTTCTGAAGCCAACAAGCGTACCGTAAAATAAAGGGAGGCGTTTTCTGCTAATTCCTTTCTACTCCCATCTGTAGCCCTCCCTCTTCAAAACTACCCAAGTTGAAGGACTTCTTTACAAAATACCGGTATTACCTACCTTCCTCTGAAGCACAGTAAATTTACTTACCCCAGCAGCATATGCGTGGACTCCTGAAGGCTTCTGGCAGGCAATTTTATCCTGAGGAGCCCAGAGAGCCGTGGAGGTGATGGGCAGCAGCGCTCCGGAGGTCAGCGGCCGTCCAGGGCACCGCCGATCGAGGCCCGTTGCCGGAAGATGATGTGGCCACAGCCTAGAAACGTACAAACTGGGGTCACAGGAGTCATGCAGACTCGGGGTTCCGAAGGGAACGTGCTGCAATGAGGAGGCGGGGGGAAAGTCTCCTCATTAAGGAGCAGAAATCAAACCACTGGCTGATGGGGAAGGGAAGGCTACGTGTGAGAACAAGCAGGCATTGATTACAGCTTTGTTTAGTCAAAATTCCTTTTTAAACAGCATTTTCTGGTCACATGGGAAAAAAAATCAATCCCTGACACGCTAATGTTCTGTAGCGTGTTCTACCAGAAACTGTCAACAAAATTTGGATTTCTAACAAAATATTTAGATGGGCATATGACTCACTGACTGATGAGAAGCTCAGGGGCTTCCGTCTATACAAGCCTGAACTCTTCAGCAAGCCTCACTGGTTGCCTGAGCCACAGCCTTTACTGCAAAGCTAAATAAACAGCATAGGACAGGATCTTACAGGGACTTTCAGAAAAAGAATTAGGAGGGGGAAAAAAAAAAAAATCCAACCCACCCCAGCATTCTTTCTTGTTAAGCAGCAGCTTTTTTTGCAAAGCAGCTTTGCTGAAGTGTGTAGCTTTGAAGCCCCTATGTTTGCCCCCCGCCCCCAGCAAGAAGCACGCTTCCTGCACCCAAGCAGGGTCTTTCTTCCTTTCTAGCCTGGAGGGGGAACGTGGCCCTGTCCCTTCCCTCCTGCCCAGGCTTGCTGCGAGGCTCACTCGACCTGCTTGGCAAGGGGAGGCGGCTCCGTACCGACCTGAGCTGTCGGAGCAGAGTGGGAGAGCGAAGGGTTCCTCCATCTCGGTTGGAATTGGCGATCTCGGAGGTCTTTTTCCAACCTTAATGCTTGGAAACAGCAACCTGAACTGCACCCAGCTGCTGGACAGTCAGGTGTATCTGCTGTTGTCTGGCTATTTCTGCTGAGAAAATCCCAGACTCACCTTGGTGTCTGTAATTTATATGGAAAACCAAAACCAACCACCAACCAAACCCCCAAATCCCTCTGCAATTCACAGGGAGGCAAGAGCAGAGGCAGGCTAACAATTCAAAGTCAGGTAATACGACATTTGGCAAACCAGACTGCAGTAGCTTCTCTTTGTAATCCTACTTTATATTGACTTTTAAATACTAACTTGAAGGTACCTGTTAATTTGGTAATAACTCTTTCTGGGGCTAAAATCTCTCGCTTTCATATGGAAAGACCTCCCCTTTTAAGTTTTATTCAGCTGTAACTGAAAATGAGTGTCTAGACACAAAATATTTTCTTAATGTTTTATCATGTTTATTTGTTTTGGGCCCATTTATTTATCCCAAATGCTTTTTTAATCCCAAGTGTTGGTAAAAATCCTTGGCATAGTACAGGAAGAGCTGTCACCACTATCAATGTTACCACTTGGGAGTTTTCACAACAGAAAACAGACAAAATAATAACCCGGCTTGTATTTATTTTCCATTTCCCAGGCACAACACTGGTGGTGTAATTTTTGGTGCTTCCTGCTTTTCCCACAGCACATGCTACATCATCCATTCAGTTCTTTAAAGTCCCTTGTGTCCGAGTGATTTCCACGTGGGAGGGTAACCAAACCGAGAAGGGGAAGGGGAAAGGCAAAAAAACCCCCAAAACCCCACTGTGGCAGATTCCACCTTCAGACATTACCAGGGTGCCAGCAAAGGCTGCTGCTATAACCACGTTCGGGAAAAAATACTGTGCTTGTTTGCAGCAGGTGAAAAGTCCGGCTAGCATCAAAATTAAGATCAGGATTTTGCCAGCTTCAGTGTTTTTTGAAGTTCCCGAAGTTGCATGTTGCCTTGGGTAATCATCATCCTGATGGCATCCTGTAAACCAAAAAGGAAACAACTGCGTGTCTGTACATAGCACAGGTTTTACACAAGCACGCACATTTTAACACATCAAAACACACACGATTCCTACCAGCCCTGCTGTGATCTATTCCTTTGTGTGAAACAAGTCACTGAGATGGTTAAAAAACAGGTGAAGAAAAATTTATTTTCTCCCATTCCTTAATGATATGTTTGGGGGCTGGTTATGGCTTTGCTTTAAAACTCAGGTTTGAACTGGATTCAACCTCTTGAATGCTGTTTTCCTTACGCCTCTGCATCTCCCACCCTTGCAAGTATGTGGTGGCAGCTGCGCACGGGCATTAGGAGGACGGGCATTTTACAGAGCACGCGGGTGCTTCTCTCAACATTATTTTTATCCAAGTACCGTAACGCTCTGTCTGCGTAACCCAGCCACCAATTCCTTCAGCGCCGGCTAGAAAACGGAACGAATTAGAAAGCCGAGGACAGAGAGATACAAGAGACGTGAAGGCCTCTGCATCTCATACACGCTTCACATCCACGACCATCCCATTTGACTGTGTCCAGCTTGAATATGGTTGAAATTAAAGATGAAAAAAAAAAGAAGCTATAGACCGTTAATAAGTTTATGTTAGCTACTGTATTATTCAACACAATTTTTCTGATTCGCGGTTTGAGTAAGCCGCACTTGTTTGTTTTTTAGCTGTTTAATTCCAGATTATTATCTGGAAATGAGAGAAGCGTTCCTGCCGCCAGCAAGGGGGATAGCACTGAGAAATGCCAAATTATTTCTTCACATAAACGCGCCTTAAGAGAAAACAGTAAGAGGCGCCTTCTCACCAGCCTGGAGGCAACACCTACAAACCAAACCCATGTGAGAAGGTGCAGGACGGCGTGCTGATGGCTCCCGTGGGCCGGCGGGCAGGGTTGCGGGCTCCCGATTCTCACCTCTTCCGTCGCGTCTTTATTTCTTCTGAATTCCTCCCTGGCCCAGTCCTTTAAGTAGCGGCGATCGGCGTCGGCGGGGCCGTCGCGAAGAGCCCGCAGGATCTGCCTGTACAACTGAAGCACCTGCTGCCGCCTCAG